TACTTGGTTAATTATAATGTTTATATTATAAATTCATTGCAGAAAATTATTTACCTTGCAATTTGGCCAACATAAATTTAATTAATTAATTTATTTTTTTCGACATGCAAAGAGAGCCAGAGAATCAGAGTTAATGATGGCTTGATAAGGCTTATAAATAAGTGAATGATTTCTATTAAGCAAGAGTCTGACTTGAAACTAAGAAGGAACCCAACTGATAAACAATATGATCACTACCACAAAGAAGCTAGCTTGGTCTAACAAATCACAATATAGAACTGTTACGATTAATGAATGAAAAGCCTCTCCTCGATCAATTGTTTTCTTATAATAAATTAAACATGTATACCTTCTCTTTTCCCATATAGTATCCAAGTAAAGCCAAAAAGACAAAAGGAAATGGCATATATGTGTAATCTGATTTCATGATGAAGTTGAAAGAAGCATATCAGGCAACGATGGGCTGCAGATCCTCTTCATTCCTTGCAACAAACTACGATATTTAAATAACAAACTAAAGGTTGCTCAACTTTGTCATTACCTAATTAACAGGGTTTAAGATATGAAACAAATGAATAAATAAACACATTCGCTTAATTACTCGAGGAGAATATATATTCTAAACTAAGTTTTCACAAGAATCTCAGAAGATGCATGTTGTCAGCAGTTGGGCGACAAATTTATATGTGACATGTAAATGCAAGCATCAGTTCATTTTAGAAAGATAAAGACAAATGTTGATTACCTTTACGTTGGAGCCAATCCAATCCATCTGCGCAATTTAGCCGTGTTTATCACGTACAATTTTTCATAAGCCTCACTCCAGAACTTGAAGTAGGCATGCCTCCATGATTTCTTCAAAAGCAATGAGCAGCAAACTGCCCAAAATCCAGAGATAAACCCCATTGCCAAGCTAATGTAGAACACTAATTGGCTGAAAAATTGATCATTGTCTCCAAGATCACGTCCATTATTTTCATGATCACCTCTAGCTTGCTTAGTTGGACATCTAGGGAGGGAAGCTCCACAGAGATCAAGATTTCCAACCTAAGCAGATGCATCAAAGCTTTGAAGTTGAGTGCCGTGTGGGATTTCTCCAGATAGTTTACTGAATGGTGAGTCCACTACACTGAGGCGATCTATATGTGCAAATTCAGATGGAATTCTTCCAAAGAAATCTTCGAATAAATAATTGACTAAAAACCCAAACACTATCACCACTCCTTTAACACCACGGAGTTCATTATCTAAAGCCGAATAACTTATATCTACATCAGAGTTTGTTTTATTAGCTGCTCATTATTCTCAAGTTCAAATTCTTGATCTCTCCATGAACAACATTTCAGGAAGTGTACCCAAATGCCTCAACAATCTTAGAATAAGTACACGCAACAATCTCAGTGCATCTCCAATCCAACTTGGAAATAATCCAGAGAAATTGTTTTCGGCAACATCAAATGTTTAAAGCAAAGTGCAGTTTTTCAAAGTGGATGGTATTTCACCTGCAAGTTTGTTGTTTGCAAAATGAAATCCTCGAATTTGTCTTAGGGTACCCAGTGAATCAGGAATCTCTCCGAAGAATCTATTATTTGCAACACTGAAGAAGATCAAGCATTCAAAATATTTCCAGCAATCAGGAAGGGCTCCAGACAATTGTAAGTCACTTATAATCCCAAATAACCATGTAATCACCAGGGAAATTTTTACTTAATAAGTCCAATTGCCAGAATCAGAACAATCATTGAGAAAAAAAGTAGATTATTAAAAGTGTCAGTGTGTATGATCTTTTTTTTTTTTTTAAATATTATATGTTTTAAAAGACCCTAACTTTTTTTTTTCCAGCTATACCTTGAGGATTTTAAGTTTTCAACTCCGATCACAATATTAGCGACATCTGATCCTATCTTAAATTTAGTCATGCAGCATCAATGCGCCCATGTATTTGGTCCTGGAAAAGAAGCTTGATGTCCTTCCTTCCTTCGATCGCAAGGTTCATATGTAAATTGTTACAGGTATCTAACAAAATCGCACCAATTCATCAAAGCAAAGGTCTTAACAATGCAAGACATATAATGGCCAGAATGATTTTATTTTAATAATCAGAGACATTATTTTAGGATAAATGATGCCCACCAAATTGTCTAGTAACTCATCGTTACATACGATACCCTTATGCCCCATATTATAGTTACAGGTGTGGGATGAGGTTAAATGGAGTTTTTGCATGGTCGTATTAACTGGGAGAGGTGAGAGCCTTAGAGGGGGCTGAGATAACAAAGAGGGAAGGGAATGAACTAAGGCAGCTACTGTAAGAGTCACAGAGGATTTTTTGAAGAAGCTTCAACTGGGAGGTTGCTGGCTCTTCAATTGCCAGGCAAGTCTTCTGTATTTTCTCCAATTTTCATCTACTGCCATCTGTTAGCTAGTTCTGGTATGCGAGGTTGAATTGTTGGGAATTAGCAACTCAACCCACAGATAACCAAGAAATGCCAACGATACACTAAAGCATGACCTGCACCAATTTTCTTTTTATCAGTCGCCTATACATATCACATATTCTTCTCAGACTAAAAGTATAAATAAGAAATAGAGCAAAATCTTCGGAAGAATATTTCATCTTATTTCACATTGACGCTTGAGGATGTCTTTCCCCCTGAAAAGATTATTGGAATTCAAGTCTTTCGATCAGAGCTTTATTTGGCACATATAATACCTAGTACATGGTGCAAGAACAAGAGTGCATCCGGTGTTATGGACTTCTCACCAACCAAATAATTATTATACGGATAACAGCGCAGCAAAATTAGCCGAGTTGTCCATGTTGAGTAAAATTTTCCACAATTTCCCTTCCTCACCAAAAATAATTTTCTTGCCAACATCCATCAACAACGATCATTATCATCAATCCCATTAGCACAAAGAAAAGGGATATATCAGCACTCAGTACCGATCATTTTGCCAATGAGTGTGAGCTCATCCTGAACCTCTTCGATGAGCTCCTCAGCCTGGCCACAGCTAAGGCGCTTCTCGATCATTTCCCAATCCTCCTTAACCGAAGAACAACAGAGAAGTAAAAGAGAGAAAGATAAAGCTCTGAGTAATTCTTTTATTAACTTGACTTTTTTTCAGTACAATTAGAGCTTTTCTCAACTATTTATACTGTAAGTAGTTATAACATACTAAACTGAAGTTTGTTACTCGTGAGTCAAGTTGGGCCCACCACAGCTGGTTACAGCTAAGCATATAATCCAATACTCCTCTTGCTCGCAAACTTTGAGCCTCTGCCTTGTGAAGCTCTCCACAGCCTTACGGTAGCCTTCATCCTCAGGGACGGCCTGGACCTCCTTCAGGGTTTTAGTGTAGAGGCCGATCGGAACCTCTCGCACGTTCGGCACCACATCCAGGCCCACAATCCCTGTCGTCTCCTTCACTTTGGCCATCAATGGCCGTGCAACTGCGCACAGGAACATTTTTCAGAGTCTAATTTGTGTCGGACTCGATCATTGTGTCATCGGTTTGGCCCTGCATCGACATTTGTTGTCTCACGTTCAAGGGAAGCGCGAGAGGTGACGCTCTGACCCGAATGAAAAAGGCAAACTGGGTCGGGTAGGGTTCTTTCTTTTTCGGCCAAAGTCGGGTTAGGATTCTGGGATCAAGTTTCTTAGCAATTTTCCCCCTTCTTGCATTACTTGCAATTTTTGTGAATTTATCCCTAAATTATTGTACAAATTTTGGAAATTTGTGATGCATACGTTAAAATTAGTTAATTAACCTATAATTCATGGGAGAGCTAAATATTAATTTTCTAAATTAACTTTGGATAATTTACTACATTACATTTGGATAATTTGTATTTAATACTGTTTGTTTTTACTTTTTCATTTTCATTTTTCATTTTAATAGTCATACAATCTGATTGAAATAATGTGAACATTTGGATTGCTTTTAAAAAAAATTAAATTTAAACGTGCAAATAAATCTATAACTAAACAATAATAATTATAAATATTTTTGTGAAATCCATTTACATATAATATAAAAACTGTAGAAAATACTCTAAGTTTATTGCAACTTACGTATCTTAGATTTCATGATCTTCACATAGTTTATTCATATATAAACCCCACCTCTTTAATAGGAAGAAAAATTCTCCCTACCCTGTTTCTAAACAAAGCAATGAATGTTCAATATTTAAGCTCACCTGATTAGAGTAACATGTATGCCAATAAGTTTGTGCTCAAAATAATCATGAAGGATAATTTTCACAATTATTAGTACATATATCATGAATTAATTTTGAAGCTCAAAGCAATATCTCAATTAAACCACACAACAAACACATGTCGATATACTGACTCCTTAGAAATAGTGTCTGATTTTACAGTACAATTATTTATTTATTTTGCAAACTAAACTAGTAGAACATAAAAGACTTGAACAATTAGTGTAAACACTAGCTCGTTTAATTTTCTGTCGCAAACTTGCACAGCAGAATAGCAGATGGATAAAACAAATGCCTCAATAGTTTAGTATTCATCGGGTGACGATGGAAGAACCTTACAGGGCAACCTTGTGAAGCAGCTACCTCCCCCATGCAAAGGACTGCAATATCGATAGATCAAAAGTAGAAGTAATTTTTTAGTCAACAAAGTCAAAGTGCTGAAAAATAGTGAACTAACGATCGGTTTCCCTTGTGGTATAAGAAAAATGTAGCACTTATTTATTGATCCGAAGAATCTTCAAAATATACTTCGAAAATATATATATAGTGTGCATCTACTGATTTTTAAGAAGCTAAAAACATTAGCCTTTTGTTTCTTCTCTAAACGGACAAAAAACTTTAGTTTTCAAAGTTTTTTCCCGTAAAAAAAAACACCCAAGTCTCTCCCCAAGACTGTTTCAAAATATATTATAACGAAATTGTCAGTTCCCCTGCAGAAAAAATACAAAATGATATATGAACACAGGAGAAATGGAAAACAAATACTAATTACGTACCTTCAAGTTGAACCTCTCCTCCACCTGCGCAGTTTGGCCACATTTATAGCAACGATCACATACACTTTGTCATGTATGCCACTCATTAACCTAAAATAGGCATATCTGAAGGCTTTGCTCAGAAATATTAAGCTGCAAATTCCCCAAAATCCTGTTCCAAGTCCGATGGACGAGCTGATAAAGAAACCTCGACCGAAAATTTGCTCATCTTCTTCAGAATTCTCATCATTTGGATGATCTTGTGTTGGGCTTGTGGGACATTTTGGAAGGGGAGCACCGCATAGATGAGCATTTCCCTCATAAGCAGAGGGATCAAAGCTTTGAAGTTGAGTGCCATGAGGAATTTCTCCTGACAAATTGTTGTGTGATAAATCCATCACACCAAGACGATCCACTTGTGAAAGTTCTGAAGGAATGCGTCCAGATAAGTGGTTCCTTGACAAATCAAGAAAGTCCAATGACTTTAGTTGTCCAATGGTGGCAGGGATTTTTCCACTGAGCATGTTTCTTGAAATGTTTAAGGCAACCAATTCAACAAGATCCATCAGTTCACTTGGAATTTCTCCCATCAACATGTTGCAAGAGAGGTCGATGCTTTTAACTAATCTCAATATACTTTGGTATTTGGACACCTTACCTTTCCATACCAGTGTCGCAATGTCCTCTGTTGAGGAGGGACCGCGATTATTTGGATCAACATAATCACCATACTATACTGTTGTATCAAAATTTGTTTGACTCTTCAAACTAGAAAGATGGTTGAGGCATTTTGGCAAACTTCCAGAAATATTATTCATCGAAAGGTCAAGGATTTGAAGTTGAGGGAGATTACAAATATTGAGGGGCAAGCTCCCAAAAAACATGTTGGATCTCAAAATGAGGACGCTTAGCTTCTTAAGCCCATCTCCAATCCAGCATGGTACTAAACCCGAAAAATCATTTCCGGCAGCATCAAAATCCACTAGCTCCGTGCATTTATTCAAAGACAAAGGTATTTCACCCGAAAATTTATTGAATCCTAAATGTAAGGATTTTATATTTATCAATGAACCCATGGATGTTGGAATTTCTCCATATAGACTATTATTTGCAACATCAAGAAGGACTAATAATTTAAAATATTTCCAACAATCTGGAAGCGCTCCTGATAGTTGATTGTTTGAGAGATCTAAGATATTTAATCCCACGGTCTTGTTTGGACATAAGAAAGTACTAGCATCTGTGAATTTATTACCAGATAGAAACAATGCAAACGCTGTCTGTGAAAAATTTGATGGAATTGAGCCTTCGAACAAATTTGAGCTCAAATCCAGATTCTGAGTCAAAGAACCATTTCCGAGTTGAAAATTTTGTATTTCTCCAGTCATTTGGTTGTGTGAAAGGTTCATGGATTCAAATGACAAATCCCAAAACCAACTTGGCATCATACCAGAAATTTCAGCATTTGAAATATCTAATGACAAATCCGACTTCTGGGTTCGAAGCCAATTTGGAAAGCCAGGGCCCAACTTACATGATCTTACATGAATGTGGAATAACTGAAAAGGGGGGATCCAATCAGGACTGATTTTAAATTCCAAGTTGTTAAGAGACATGTCCAAGTACCCTAGCTGAGAGAGTCTCGAGAAATGAGTTTCAGCTATGATACCGTGCAAGAAATTAGAAGCAATGTCTAACGTTTGTAGCTTTGACAATAATCCAATGCCACCATTTACAGTTCCGTTGAGTTGATTGTCGGAGAGATATAATCTTTCCAAAACTGAGAACCGTGAGAAATTAGGTACCGACCCCGTAAAACAATTATAAGATAAATCTAAGTTCTGTAGTGATATGCTACCACATTGGTCGAATGATGCAACGAACTCATCTAATTGTCCACTCAAGGAGTTGTCAGATAGATCCAACACTGTTAAGTTGCATAAAGCCAAGGATTTGGGTATGCCACCTTCAAGCTGGTTTCCCTCAAGGTAAAGTGTTTGCAAGCGAGACAAATATCCCAAATTGAGAGGTATGTTTCCTTTCAAATTTGTGAAGGTGAGATCAAGATATTGCAATCTCTTTAAAGAAAGAATGGAGTCTGGGAATTTAGCCAGAGAGAAATTATGGCCACCAAGGTCCAAATAATTTAAATGATGCAATTCAGCCAATGACGGAGATACCTTCCAAACTGTAGTAAGAAAGATCGAGTGCATCCACATGGCCTGTTCGGCTGTCACAGGAAACACCATTCCATGTGCAACAATCTGTGTGGTTCTCTGAACTTCCCCAGGAAGAGAGGCAGCCACGGGGATCAACAAAGCCACGTTTGAGAGAAAGAAGAGAGAGTCGTTCCTTGACTCTGCACTTGACAGTGGTGTTGCTAATTGCGAGTGCCCCGCAAGAGTAATGCACCCAAAGCACAACGCAAGCAACAAGAAACCTCATATCTACCATCCTTATGTTGTAGATACAAGGTTATGTAGTATGTGAGAGAACAAGCACCACAAAGGCCATGTATTTATAGGCAAGATTTTGTTGTCTTCATGATAGCGTTGGAGGATATACAAACTCTCAATATGAATTCAAAATCATATATAACAAGCTTTTAATTTTTTAAATCCGAGATCTTGAATAAATAAACAAAGATTTGGAAATATGAATTATTTGAAATCGTTTACTACACCATATATATCATTTTAACTTAATAGTGACGAAAAACAGAGGCAAAGTATCCGTTGCCACCACAAGAATTGACTTGTCTTCCCCTCTTATCCACAGACTATCTAATATTAAGCCGTGTTAGAGACTTTCATCGACTTTTCTTCAGAAGTTTGAAGTTTCCACAATAAGCTTCATTTGTTAATATGACAGTTTTGGTTGCATATGCTCTTATTTATGTCTGAAAGAGAAAAATAAGAGTTAAAATTTAACTTTAGGGGAAATCAACCAAGACATACGCAAAATTAAGTATATATATTATAAATGTAATTTTTGGATGTATATATGAATGATAATATTAATTATGAAATACTTGTAATGGCTTATTTTTACAATTCTACAAAGAAAGTTAGTAAAAGTTAAAATCATCATCAATATATATAAATTGTGAAATTAAATATATATATATATATATTGTACACGTGAAAGGCTTCATGATCAAAGACTTTGAGTATGTTTGATTGAGTATGTTTGAAATAACATATAAATATCTTTTTAATCGTGATTTACAAAATATGAGGTAAATATATAAGAAGAGTTTTATCTCGATTTACGTGATATGTGTTTATAAGTCTTTCATCGCTATTCCAAACTTGCCCGTTGTGTTATTGTATAGTAAATTTCCAAGCCGTTTCATTTTCTTCCATATTGTTTGTGTCCACCATGAGAGTGACACTTCATTCCAAAATTGAAAGAATAGACTTTTATGTTTTGCCAAAGAATATATGACTTTGAAATACTGGAGGACACAAGACTTCCAATAAACAACACAATGAATTTAAAATCCTATATATATTGATATTGGAGAGTGCAGTGATCTATTTTTACGCTTCATTTTTAAAAATAGCAAGGCTAAAGACTTTAAATTGTTAAAATTTGAACTTAAACAGATATTATAGCTATATTTTTCAGAAAATATTAATTTTTTAAAATTTGTTTTGTGTTTTCTTTTTGTGGTAGTAACATTACTTTTTTTACATGTAATAGCAAATTAAATTAGTCAAGGTCATGAGAGAGACTTCAAAAACTTCTAAAATGAAAGAAGAGTCCAAAATTTGATTTGTAAACTTGAGTTTCGAACCAAACTTTACGTTTAGATTAAATTCTAATTCTAATATTTGACAAAAAAGGATTAAATTCTAATAATGTATAAAAAAAATTAGTGTGAGTCTAATATTAAGCCATGTGAGAGACTTCCATCGACTTTTCTTAAGAAGTTTGAAGTTTTCACAATTGGTTTCATTTATTAATATGACAGTTTTTTGTTGCATTTGCTCTTATTTACGCCAAAAAAAGAAAAGTAAGAGTTAAAATTTAACTTTGGGGGAAATAAATGAAGACATACCCAAAATTAAGTATATACTATAAATATAATTTTTGGATGTATATATGAATGATAGTATTAATTATGAAATACTTGTAATGGCTTATTTTTACGATTCTACAAAGAAAGTTAGTAAAAGTTAAAATCATTGTGATCAAAGACTTTTAGTATTTGTGAAATAACATATAAGTAGTTTTTTAATCGTGATTTACAAAATACAAAATAAGTATGTAAGAGGAGTTTTGTCACGACTTATGTGAAATATGCTTATAAATGTTTTTCATTGTCATCCCAAACAGACCCTTTGTATTATTGCATGGTAAATTTCTACGCCGTTTCATTTGCTTCCATAATGTTTCTGTCCACCATGAGAATGACACTTCATTCCAAAATTGAAGGAATAAGAATATTATATTTTTGTTTTTTTGCCAAAGAATATATGACTTTGAAATATTGGAGGACACAAGACTTCCAATATACAAGCCAACGAATTTAAAATCTTATATATATTGATATTGGAGAGTGCAGTGATCCATTTTTAGGTTTCATTTTTGAAAATAACAAGGCTAAAGACTTTAAATTGTTAAAATTTGAACTTAAACAGATATTATAGTTCTATCTTTTCAGAAAATATTATTTTTTAAAATTTGTTGTGTGTTTTCTTTTTCTGGTAGTAACATTACTTTTTTACGTGTAATAGCAGATTGAATTAGTCAAGGTCCAAAGAAGAAAGCAGAGTTGTCGTAAACAAGGAACAAAAAACCGGACCGAAAATTCAACCGGTCGAGACAGTGGGTTAAAGGTTACTGGTTGGACCAGAGGTCAGACTGGGGTCGAATCGGTCATATTAAAATAATATAATTTAATTCATAACATTAAAATAGAACAAAATTCATAAATAATAATCAGTCAAAAAAAGATAAGAAGTTACAAAATAGTTTTAGATCAAATCTACTAATTAAATATATTTTTAATTAATTATTTATGTGCAAGCACCTGCTCTAAAGCCAACCTTACCAGCCCCAACATCGTACACCACCTCCAATGTTTTTTTTTGGACATTTCCAAGAATGGTCACACCGCTTGAATCTTGATTCGAAGAAAAAGCCAAACACACCTGTGTTTCCCGCACTACGTATAGTTGCCTCCAACTCTACGTTCACCCCACCGCCAAACGACAATGTTATCTTCAGAACAACAATAGTTTTGTACTTACTAAACATGTGTCCAGGATCGACACCGGATCTGCCTTTGGGTACTTGGACATTACTTTCCTGAACGCGTCTCTCAGGGGACTATACACCCCCAGGGGGAGTTGCGTGATGACGGTGCCGGAGTCGATGATCGTGCTGGGGGAGAACGTGGAGGTGGAGATAGGGAGTTTGATGTCGGAGAGGGTGATTCCTGTGAAGTCGAGGCCGTAGAAGGAGGAGCCCTGGGGAATGGAAGAGAGTGGGGTGAACTCGACGTTGCCGGAGGAGTATCCTTGGCCAGGAGAAAGGAGGGAGTGAGGGACTGAGGGAATTGAATCCAAAAACAGCGCTTGATTTTTTTTTTTTTTTTTAAAAAGTAGACGATGTCGTTTTGGATAGCTGGGGGAAAAATATATAACCGGTCAACCCCCAAACCGGGCGGTTGACCGGTTAAATACCGGTTACTTATCGGTTCGCTAGGGGGCTGGTTTTCATGTTAAACCGGACCGGTTCACCGGTTGAACCGGCCGGTCCAATCCGGTTTTTTTTTCTTTGGTCGTAAGAGAGACTTCAAAGACTTCTAAAATGAAAGAGGCGTCCAAAATTTGATTTGGAAACTTGGGTTTCGAACTAAACTTTACGTTTAGGTTACATTCTAATTCTATATCTGACAAAAAGAGGATTAAATTCTAATAATGTATATTTTTTTTTTCATAAATTGTTTAGGATTTCACCCACCATCATATTTATTTGTTTCCATGCGTTCCAAATTAATTTGGATTGAGCCGGGCATAGCTACAAAGTGTGACAAAACTCTATCATCGAGTAGTTAAAAATCATTATCGTACGACTTTCCGGTAGACAAAAAACAATTTACTCACTAATGCAAAGATTTGCATCAATTCATAACACATTATATATATATATATATAGGGAAAATTTAAACTTGATTGCGAAATGTATTATGTCATCTAATTTTTAATATAAAATTTATTAAATATAAAATCTCAATCCACTTTTTTAAAAATTTATAATTTTTTTTCTAATATATCCCTATTAATTGCTATATGAAAGGAGGTTACTAGTAATGAAGTAACAATCAAAAGGTTATATTAAAGAATAAAAAAATTTAACGCATATTTATTACAAATAACTATATTACAAATGACTAACTTACATAATTTTTTTAATTTTAATATTTGTAAATTAATTATTTAGCTCCTATAGAGAGAAATTAGTTTATAGACCATGTAACTCATTATAAAATTCATATTATATATAATAATATTGATAAAATAAAAATGCAATATAATGTTAGATATAACACTCCAATGGCCTAATTATTATGGAACTCAATGAGCGACGGATCGAGAACAAAGTATTTGAATTGGTGGGCACCATGAGAATTGATTTGTCTTTCCCTCTTATCCCCAGACTTTCCAGATATATTAGGCCGTGTGAGAGACTCTTTCTTAAGAAATTTCCACAATTGACTTCATTAATGATATTATAACAATTTTGGTTCGATATGTTCCTATTAGAAGAGTTAAAAGCCAACTTTGGGAGAGATCAAAGAAAACATATGCAAAATTAGATGTATAGTTTAAATATATATAATTTTAGGATGCATGAATTATTATGAAATACTTGTGTGATGGCTTAATTTTATTGCTAATAAAATTAAATTTTAAAATCATCATCAATATGTATAAATTGTGAAATACTCTTAGGAGGATTAAAGTCATTTTCTCTTCACAACCTTGACATTGTCATACCGTGAGAAAGGCTCTTCATGATTCCTTTTCTTTCACAATGTTTGTATCCGCCATGAGAGTGACACTTCATTCCAAAATTGAAAGAATAAGAATACAGACGTGGAAATATCGGTGGAAATGACACTTTCCAATATGCATGTTATTCTACAGTAAATTTAAAATCCTATTTTAATATATTGATATAGGAATAGAGAGGGCAGTGGTCCATTTTACGTTTCATTATGGAAGAATTAGCTGGGCCAAAGACTTCAAATTTTTGTAAGGTTGAACTTAAGCAGATATTATAATCGTATTTTTTAAATAAATATTATTTTTTTAAAAAAAATGTGTTTTCTTTTTCGGGTAGTTAGTCACATTACTTTTTTACATGTAATTAGCAAATTAAAATAGTTGATATCAAATGGACAATTTAGCGAAAAGATGGTAGAGTTGCACAATTATTTATTTTCTCTCATTTCTCACACTCTTTTTTTTTTTTCAATCATATTTTCTCATACATTATTTTTCATCATTTTTCTTTTTTATTATGAGAACATTTTTTTGGCCAAAAATTATAAGAACATATTAAGAAATAAAAATATATCTTTTACTTATTTATTATTTTTAACTAATTTTTTGTTATATGTAAATTAGTTATTGAAAGTTTATAATACTGATTGATCTCTTCAATTGAAAGATTTATAATCTAAATTAAGTTGATGATGGTTAGAGAAGGCAGCAAAACCCTGCCACCAAATATTTAATATTGTTGCATTCACAAGACTCCAACTTGATGGAAATCTTTGGTTATGTTGATACAGCTCAGATACGTGCACCTCATAAAAGGGGGCAAAAAAAAAAAAAAGAGAATCATGGCACATCAGTTTCTTCAAGATATCTTCTATGGAGACTGGACCTTTTGACCATACTTTTTGAGTATATTTTCATGCTGGTGTTCGTGCTCGATTTGCTTAACATGCTGAGTCTTGTTGAAGTCTTGGGCCTTCTTTGGGCCATCATTTTTTTTTTGGAAAAAAGACTTGTCAGAGTTTTGAAAGTAAAAACGGTCCTTCAACTATACAAAATTGCTTGGCACAAAAAAAAAAAAACCCAGAATTACTTGCTTAATTATAATTTTCATATTATAAATTCATTGCGGAAACTTATTTACCATGCAATTTGGCCAACGAAAATTTAATTAATTAATTTTTTTATATATAAAGAGAGGCCAGAGAATAGTTAATGATGGCTTGATAAGGCTTATGAATGAGTGAATGATTGCTATTAAATATTAATCCATCTGCCAATTTGGCCGTGTTTATGACTGCAATCACGTACAATTTTTCATAAGCCTCACTCCAGAACTTGAAGTAGGCATGCCTCCAGGATTTCTTCAAAACCAATGAGCAGCAAACTGCCCAAAATCCAGAGATAAACCCCATTGCAAAGCTAATGTAGACCACTAATTGGCTGAAAAATTGATCATCGTCTTCAAGATCACGTCCTTCATTTTCATGATCATCTCTAGCTTGCTTAGTTGGACAACTAAGGAGGGGAGCTCCACAGAGATCAAGATTTCCCACATAAGCAGGCGCATCAAAACTTTGAAGTTGAGTTCCGTGTGGGATTTCTCCAGATAGTTTACTGAATGGTGAGTCCATTACACTGAGGCGATCTATATGTGCAAATTCAGATGGAATTCTTCCAAACAAATGATTTCTTGATAGATCAAGTGAGTCCACTGGCTCCAACTGTCCAATGCTTGGAGGGATTTCTCCGTTAGTCTTGTTTCTTGACAGGTTTGAGGAAACCAATCCAACGAGATCCATCATTTCGCTTGGAGCTTCTCCAGTTAACGTGTTGTTGGAGAGATCAATACTCTTCACTAGTCCCAAGATAGTTTGATATTTAGCTTCTTTACCTTTCCACACCAGTGATAAACTATCTTCGAATAAATCATTGACTAAAATCCCAAACACTACCACTACTCCTTTAAGACCACGGAGTTCATTATCTAAAACCGAACAACTTATATTTCCATCATAGTTTGTTTTATTAGCCAAAGCAGAAAGATTGTTGAGGCATTTGGGTACACTTCCTGAGATGTTGTTCATGGAGAGATCAAGAATTTGAACTTCAGAAAGATGGAAAAAATTGAAGGGCAAGCTCCCAGCAAACATATTGGACCTTAGAATAACTACACGCAACAATCTCAGTGCATCTCCAATCCAACTTGGAAATAATCCAGAGAAATTGTTTTCGGCAACATCAAATGTTTTAAGCAAAGTACAGTTTTTCAAAGTGGATGGTATTTCACCTGCAAATTTGTTGTTTGCAAAATGAAATTCTCGAATTTGTCTCAGGCTACCTAGTGAATCAGGAATCTCTCCGAAGAATCTATTATTGGCGATACTGAAGAAGATCAAGCATTCAAAATATTTCCAGCAATCAGGAAGGGCTCCAGACAATTGAAGTCATATATGATCCCAAATAACCATGGAAATCACTAAGGAAATTTTTACTTGATAAGTCCAATTGCCAGAATCAGAACAATCATTGAGAAAAAAGTAGATTATTAAAAGTGTCAGTGTGTGTGATCTATTTTTTTTTTTTTTTGGTAAAAAAAATAACTTTATGTTTTAAAAGACCCTAACTTTTTTTTCAGCTATATCTTGAGGATTTTAAGTTTTCAACTCTGATCACAATATTATCAACATCTGATCCTATCTTAAATTTAGTTATGCATCATCAATGCGAACGTATGTTTGGTCCAGGAAAAGAAGCTTGATGTCCTTCCTTCCTTTGATCGCAAGGTTCATATATAAATTCTTACAGGTATCTAACCCACAAAAAAAAAAAATTGTTGCAGGTAGAAGACAACACAAGAAAAGAATTTAATGGCAACGAAAAGATAATGAGAGATGCTGTATCCACAAATCTAAAGCCATCAAATAGCACATCATTTGTTTCAATTTTTCCCTTCTCACAGACCGTCCCAAAAGCTTCTCAGAATCAAAATTTCTTATTATATTCAAATAGTATAGTATTATCTCTCATTTTAACTACCTAATAACTCTTTCTTATCTTAGCAAAGTAAACGATTTCAAACAAATAAATAAAAAGATGAGTATCATGAATTTAAAGCGTGGCATGAAGTTGGAAGTTGGAATCCTGTCACGACCAAGCAAAAGATCCAGATGTTTTCTTGTCTCACCACATAAGCAAATTGGGATGACTGTGTTCTTCATTTTGCTGCTCCCTTTTCCGTTCACTCTTTTCCAGGACAACTGTGAGCACCCTTTACTTCATCCCGCTTTTGGCAATTAGTTGGCAAGTCTCTTCCTTTTTCTTTTTTGTCTCCATTACTTATCTTTTGTTCTAATCTCCACCATCATGCACAAAATCATGCACTAAAGGCCAAAAAAAAAAAATCGTCAATTTATTAAGTTCCCCAAACATCAGGATCTTGTCCACAATGACAAGGGGGAGTATGAGTATAGATCAAAGCCGTGGATAGAGCTACATGCTAATCGCACCTATATGAAACAAAGTAAAGAGACAAGGAATTTTCTTGTGATTTCCTTTTGATCAAGTTAATCGACAGACCAAAGAACGGCTTAGCATATAGCTGCATGCCTTTGAGGTTGATTCACCTTAGCCGACCCCATGAATGTCCTTTTTGGGTTGAGATGAAGCAGCCTCTAGCCTCGAAAAATTCTTCAGGTAGAGGAGGAGGTCGATGGTAAGGAATATGCCTAGGAATTGGCGCATCATTCTCAACAACTTCACATACATAATCATCTGGGACACCCTATGGATTCCACTCTGCATTCATCATAAAGCATGAGCACAGACACACACACACACATTAAATCCCACGTTTTACATTATTTGTAAAAGCGGATTCACATTATTCCAATAGAGACAACTAAAATCGTACCAATTCATCAGAGTAAAGATCTTAACAATGCAAGACATATAATGGCCAGAATGATTTTATTTTAATGATCAAAGATATTATTCTTGGATAAATGATGTCCACCAAATGTCTGGTGACCCATCTTTACATACGATTACGTTATGCCCCATATTATAGTTACAGGTGTGGGCACTGCCAGAAAAAAGGATTTTAACGGCGGTTATTAGTGGTTTTTCACGGCAGTTTTGGAGGCGAAGTTGATACAGTTGACGTTGAAAGGTTTACAAACCACGGTGGTTGAGAAGCGCTGTGGAAAATTGATTTTCCAAGGAGGTTATGTAAAAAATTGCCATGGAAAGTTAAATTTCCACGGCGGTTATATGAATAATGACTGTTAAAATTTATGTGTTTTTTTAAAAATCATGATGCATGATTTTCTTTTTTACCACCCTGCAGTTTACAGTTCCAAGTAAATGTAGACAGTGCAGAATACGCAGAACAAGACCATATGAATAATTAATCAACTAGCTAGTTAATATATACAGCAAGTATTGGAATTTCTTTTAACATATAGTCACAAAGCAAAAATAGAGAACCAAGAGAACTAAGGGAAATCTAAGACCAAAGAACACGTATAGGAACCAAGAGTACCAGCATCTTGAAAGAAAAGTAACAACTTTTGTCTGTACAATAGAAATAATGAACATGTATAGGAGGGAAGCAAGAGAAATTATCTAACAATGAATTTTTTGAGGAATGACCGAACTATTTGAATGTTTCAACATTTTGTAGCAATGTTGTTGACAAAGTGTCCCTCATCAAGTTGATGTCATCCATGGGATATGGCGCAGCATTTTGAAATACCTGTTAATCAAAAATAACACAGTAAACTTAATCAAAAATGTGAAATGAATTGAAGAATGTCATACAATGTAATTTATCTTTATCTCATCTAATTTCTCAATCACTCCTATCTCAATAATGTCATTCATGTAGCGGATGACATAATATCCACATTCAACATGTCCTTGTTGACAACGATACTAACAAAATGAAATATAAAATTGAATATTAGACATTATTGATTATAAACATTAACTTTAATCCATCTAAAAAGGTTTAAAAGTATATATTTAGCTCAAAAAAACATACTTTTGGGAGAATCTATGTTGGTAGTTGTCTATTTTGTTTAATCGCCACAACATTGAAACCATGAAAAGCCCTATCAATAGTATAAAAGAAAATGATATTAGAGCATGTTTTTATAAACTTCACACATAATAAATATATAAACATAAACTAACGTGTCGATGACATCTCTGGTTTCTTTAGATGGACTTCCACAGAGGGAATCGAACCAGTAAACTTTGTTATCAAAAGGGGCACAAGGGGCACAAACAATTAGAGTCCAGTGAGAACTGCAAAATACAAACCATATTAATTATAATCCTACACATATAACTTGTGTATCTCAAATACAATAATACACTTACCCTTCCACGTAAGGTACAACATATATTGGCTTTCTGGTCTGAGTCATTGTGGTCATCATGTAGATCGACCTTGCTTCCACAGTATTAAGCTCTTTCTGCACCCTTTGAGGACACATAAAACCATATGTTTCCTCAAGTCCTCCGTTTCAACAGATTTGAATAAAGTGCCTGTTTCTCAAATAAGAAACATTAGGACATGCACAAAGTATAACATGAAATAAGAAAATGATATTGTAACTTACAAAATACGAGCTGCATGAAGACTATATCAAGCTCCTTAAAGTTGAGGAACTGAACGAGGTCCTTCTTGTCAACGGTGAAGTCGTATGTTATATCTGAACCCATAATCCCTAGCGGCATCTTGAAAGTAACGCGCTTATCCATGTTTGGCACTATGGAATGAAGAACCTCCAAACTGGAATACATAAGCGCAACATCACCAGGAAGAGGCAGGAGTACAGGATCTGATGATGCGCTCTTTGTGGCCTTCTTCGCTGCCACCTTCTTCACCAGTGGCTTTGCAATAAGTCTCTTTGGCCATAAAATGAAATGTCCTTTAGCTTGGGCCAATAGTCGAACCTCATCAGTAAGATTAGGCACTAGTGTACTGCCATGACCATGAACAATCCTCTCCACTGTTATCCTTGCTCGATCACTCGGAATATTGATAATGTGTGCTCAAATTAGAAGAATAACCTTGTGGCACCTTAATACTATTAACAAAACCACAGAAACTTCTTTTCTCTTCTTTTGATAATGTGTGCGCAGCTGGATGTAAATAAGTCCTCTTACCATCTCTTTCTTGTGGGTAGAGGACTTTTTTTATTCCAATTTTGACTAAGTCTTGTCTTGCATTGATTCCATCCTTAGTCTTTCCACTTATATGTAAAAGCGTACCAACAAGGCTCTTACACACATTCTTCTCCACATACATCACATCTAGACTATGCCTTACATCAAGACTTTGTCTATATGGAAGATCATAAAATATAGATCTTTGTTTTTCCATATATTCCTCTCAATGGCAGTCTTCTTCTTCTTCTTACCAAAGACCACATTAATTCCCTCCACCTGCTGATAAATTTCTTCTCCAGTTAATGGTCTTGGAGCCATTTCATATTCTTGTGAGCCTTTAAATGCCTTTTTCAATCTACGGTAAGGATGATATCGACTAAGAAACCTTCTGTGACAAAGGTATACCATCTTCCTGCCATGTTTAAGTTGCATATAGTGAGTGCTTTCTTTGCATATTAGACATGCTTTATGCCCCTTAACACTGTATCTTGACTAATTTTCATATGCCGGAAAGTCATTTATCGTGGTGAAGATCATGGCATGTAAAATGAAGGTCTCTTGTTTATATGCATCACACACATCAACACCTTCCTCCCATAATTTCTTCAGATCCTCAATCAAAGGTGCCAAACACATATCGATATCGTTTCCCAGCTGTTTTGGCCCCGAGATCATCAAAGATAGCATGATATACTTTCTTTTCATACATAACCAAGGAGACAAGTTGTAAATTATGAGGAGCACTGGCCAAGCACTGTGTGTGCTACTAAGATTACCATATAGGTTAATTCCGTCCGTACAAAGCCCTAGCCAAAGGTTTCTTGGCTCGCCACCAAATTGAGAAAATTTTTGATCTATTGTTTTCTATTAAGAAGAATCTGCTAGGTGAAGAAGCTTTCGATCACATATTTTCTCATCGAAATGCCATCTCAAGTTCTTTGCATCTGTGGCATTAGCAAATAGACGCTTAAATCGTGGTATTATTAGAAGATACAACAGAACCTTCAAAAGAGAACTTTTGGTCGTCTCATTGTAATCACCATCATCTTTCTTAACTTTGTATCTTGAAGTCCCACATTTAGGGCACTTATTCAACCCTTCATATTCATTTCTGAATAATATGCAGTCATTAGGACACACATGTATCTTCTCATATTCCAAACCCATCGGACACAAAATTTTCTTTGCTTCATACATTTGTTTCAGAAGTGAATTCCCTTTTGGAAGAATATCACTCAGCAGTTCAAGCAATTCCGTGAAACTAGCATCGGTCCAACCATTTCTTGCCTTCAAGTTCATCAATAACACGGTTGTCAACCTTATGTAATCATCTTTGCACCCTGGGTATAA